TTTTTAATTGTTTTGAGGATAGTTAATAGGGATAAGAAGCCAGCGATGTCGGAGCTTGTTATAGTGATGAATGTGACTGAAAATGAAATTAAAGATAATTTTGAGGAAAAAAAATTCAATTTTGTTGAGATAAATTATGCATATTATCGATAGCCGATGAGAAGATCAAATAGAAGTCCAGTTGTATAGAGTTGCATTGTTTCTTAATCCTTCAAAGAATTTTGATATCAATGTAAATGATAATACGTATGTTCGTAAAGTACGAACTATGTTTAATGATATTCTTGAAAAATTAATCATGGATGATGATTTGCAAACAAAAATATGTGATCAAGTCTATAATTATTTTTATTTATTTCATCATTTCAGTTGATTGATGAAATGCTTTTGAAGGTCTTCATATCGAACTTCAATCACTTGCATTTCGCAAAAGTAGTTATTGTTGTTATGAATGCAATTGGAGTTCATTATTAATATTATCATAGTAACATACTAATATATTATAATTTATTATTTTCTAAATAAAAAGATTAAGCATAAGAGATTTAAAAATTTAGTTTTCGTTCAATACAATAAAAAAAAATACAAATAGATTTCAAATGATGTATGATGAATGAAAGAATTTTAATATTTTGGTGTTGAATGAATTTAAATGGGATAACGAGTGAGTACTCGACACTAATGATGTAGTTCATCCGAAAAAGAATCTTACATGAAGTTATGTTGATAAAGTCATAGATGCATTGATCAATCTTGAACGATGCACCATTTCTAGAAAAGAAAACATCGGTGACACATTAGGTTCATCAATACAATTATAGTTCTAACATCTCAGGAAAACCTCAACTTCGGCATGAAACAAGAATTAGATGATGAAGATGTATCATTATATGATGATATTTTGGATAATATTCCTAGTTGTAGCGGTGGACGAAAGATATTTGATTATTGAGATTTGAGATGATATCATTGATGATTTGGAGATTTATGAATAGTATTTTATTTTGTTTGATATAATTGAAATTATATTTTTTATGGTATAATATTTCATGTTATGATTTAAGGTATATGAAATTTTAAAGATTAATAGAAATTTAATAATGTAATATTCCGAAGATTTATAATATATATAATTTTATACGTAGTGTGTTGCGTTTGTCATTTTGTCACCATGACGGTTTGATGGTCCGCAAACACCATGTTACAGAAGGATGTCGTAACATTTTTTGTTGTAACTATTGGGGCAATATGTTGACACGTTTAAACTTCATGTTTGAAAGACTTATTTTTTATACTTAACTCTTAATTATAATTATTTAATTTTAAAAGTACATTATTGAGTTGTTTACTCATAAGATCAACATACTCACACACTTCATAAAGAAATTTTGAAATTCTAGTTATTTAATTCCTTATTTCATTATATTTTCTAAACAATGCTTTCATAATATTAGCTCAACTTATTTAACATAAACCAAAATCTATAAATCCATTGTTCTTACATGTAGGCACACGTATAATTACTAATATAATCAACTTAAAAAGCTATATATAGGCATGCAGATCGATTACAATGTTAATTGAGTCAAATTAATAGGGTGATAATTTAATTCAATCAACACATATAAGAAAAATACACATTGTATATAATAATATAATTACAACATATTTCCTAATAACATGTATAATTCCACATATTACAATATACTATTAATTTCAGCAAAATAAATATATTTATAAAATGCAGTATATGACATAAATTGTGAAATGCATGTTTATTTAATATATTATATATTGTATTGTATAAAAGCATGTGTTGTGTTCTTTTATTATATACTAACCGAATCAAAGTGATCATGTGTTGGTTTAATCTAATCAACATTCTAACCACTGCTACCGTATAATTACAAAGACGAACAACTTAAAAATCAACGCATACGCACTATATTTTTCAGTCAAATTTTTAGGCAAATATAACAATTTAACAAATCCAAACACATTAGATATGAAATTATATTAAAAATAGTTCAGCAAACAACTATAAATTCCCACAATTTGCTATAAATTCATAAAACATCGGGTTTTATTTTAATTTTGAATTAAATTAAAATTATTTACTATATACAATATTTAATAAAAATATATTATTTTTTATATAAATACCGCATCAAAATATTATTTGAACAAAAAATTAAATCAGGTCATAATTTCAAATCAATTTTACCTTAATTTAAATCAATTTCAAACTAAAACTATATTTATTTCTTTTATTTATTTATTTATTTATTTGTTTATTGGTATTTTGTGATTTATTTTTTATGATATAAATATGTGAAAAGTATAACATAAAAATTGGTCTAATTATATATACTTCGTATCTCATCTAAATTTATTTTCACTTTATCTTTTTTTATCCAAATTTATTCTCGTCTAATTATATATACTTCTGTCATTTAAATTTATTTTCACTTTATATTTTTTGTCATCCAAATTTATTCTCGTTTTTCTCTCTATTAAAAAAAAATCAATTATTCTATTTTTTATACCATAATAAAAAAAACTATTTTTATCATAAATAATCAAATAAATAAATAAATATATAACAATAATGCTGGAGAAGCAAGCTGAGGCGTATGTTCGTAAAGTACGAACTATGTTCAATGATGTTCTTGAAAAATTAATCATGGATGATGATTTGCAAACAAAAATATGTGATCAAGTCTATAATTATTTTTAATTATTTCATCATTTTAGTTGATTGATAAAATGCTTTTGAAGGTCTTCATATCATATCGAACTTCAATCCTTGTATTTTGCAAAACTAGTTATTGTTGTTATGAATGCAATTGGAGTTCATTATTAATATTATCATATTAACATACTAATATATTATAATTTATTATTTTCTAGATAAAAAGATTAAGCATAAGAGATTTAAAAATTTAGTTTTCGTTCAACACAATAAAGAAAAAATACAAATAGATTTCAAATGATATATGATGAATGAAGGAATTTTAATATTTTTGTGTTGAATGAATTTAAACGGGATAATGAGTGAGTTTTCGACACTAATGATGTAGTTCATCCGAAAAAGAATCTTACATGAAGTTATGTTGATGAAGTCATAGATGCATCGATCAATCTTGAACAGTGCACCATTTCTAGAAAAGGAAACATGGGTGACACATTAGGTTCATCAATACAATTATAGTTCTAACATCTCAGGAAAACTTCAACTTCGGCATGGAACAAGAATTAGATGAAGAAGATGTATCATTATATGATGATATTTTGGATAATATTCCTAGTTGTAGCGGTAGACGAAAGATATTTGATTATTGAGATTTGAGATGATATCATTGATGATTTGGAGATTTATGAATAGTATTTTATTTTGTTTGATATAATTGAAATTATATTTTTTATGGTATAATATTTCATGTTATGATTTAAGGTATATAAAATTTTGAAGATTAATAGAAATTTAATAATATAATATTCCTAAGATTTATAATATATATAATTTTATACGTAGTGTGTTGCGTTTCTCATTTTGTCACCATGACGGTTTGATGGTCCGCAAACACCACGTTACAGAAGGACGTCGTAACATTTTTGTTGTAACTATTGGGGCAATATGTGGACACGTTTAAACTTCATGTTTGAAATGCTTATTTTTTATACTTAACTCTTAATTATAATTTTTAAATTTTAAAAGTACATTATTGAGTTGTTTACTCATAAGATCAACGTACTCACACACTTCGTAAAGAAAATTTAAAATTCTAGTTATTTAATTCCTTATTTTATTATACTTTCTAAACAATGCTTTCATAATATTAGCTCAACTTATTTAATATAAAACCAAAATCTATAAATCCATTGTTCTTACATGTAGGCACACATATAATTACTAACATAACCAACTTAAAAAACAATATACAGGCATGCAGATCGATTAGAATGTTAATTGAGTCAAATCAACACGGTGATATTTTAATTCAATCAACACATATAAGAAAAATACACATTGTATATAATAATATAAATACAACATATTTCCTAATAGCATGTATAATTTCACATATTACAATATACTATTAGTTTCACAAAAATAAATATATTTATAAAATGCAGTATATGACATAAATTGTGAAATACATGTTTATTTAATATATTATATATTGTATTGTATACAAGCATGTATTGTCTTTTTTTATTATATACTAACCGAATCAAAGTGATCATGTGTTGGTTTAATCTAATCAACATTCTAACCACTGCTACCGTATAATTACAAAGATGAACAACTTAAAAATCAACGCATATGCACTATATTTTTCAGTCAAATTTTTAGGCAAATACAACAATATAACAAATCCAAACACATTAGATATGAAATTATATTAAAAATAGTTCAGCAAACAACTATAAATTCCCACAATTTGCTATAAATTCATAAAACATCGGGTTTTATTTTAATTTTGAATTAAATTAAAATTATTTACTATATACAATATTTAATAAAAATATATTATTTTTTATATAAATATCTATCAAAATACTATTTGAACAAAAAATTAAATCAGTTCATAATTTCAAATCAATTTTATTTTATTTTAAATTAATTTCAAACTAAAACTATATTTATTTATTTATTTATTTATTTATTTGTTTTTTTTATTGGTATCTTGTGATTTATTTTTTATGATATAAATATATGGAAAGTATAACATAAAAATTGGTCTAATTATATATACTTCTTATCTCATCTAATTTTATTTTTATTATTTTATCCAAATTTATTCTCGTCTAATTATATATATACTTCTTCTGTCATTTAAATTTATTTTCACTTTTTTTTTATCATCCAAATTTATTCTTGTTTCTCTCTCTATTAAAAAAAAAATCACTTATTTTATTTTTTATACCATAAAAAAAAAAAACTATTTTTATCATAAATAATCAAATAAATAAATAAATATATAACAATAATGCTGGAGAAGCAAGCTGAGGCGTCCAGGAAAGAAAGGCTCACGAATAGCATCCGTACAACTGTGCGCCACGCGCCACTACCAGAGCGTCCCGGCTGCGGCGGCAACCGCTATAAACCCTAACCTCCCAACGCCACTCCTCCGCCGCGTACAACTTCAGCCATGACTTTCCAACGCTTCTACGCCGCCTGGTTCGACCAATTCCGCCACACCATCCATCAGCTCACCAATTCCGCCGCCGCCGACGACCACCACCGCCTCCAGCTCGTCCACAAGACCGTCGACCACTACTCCGGCTACTACCAGGCCAAATCCGCCGCCGCCAAGCACGACGCCCTCGCCTTCTTCGCGCCGCCGTGGACCACCGCCCTCGAGCGGTCCCTCCTCTGGATCGGCGGCTGGCGTCCGACCACCGCCTTCCACCTCCTCTACACCGAATCCAGCATCCTCTTCGAATCTCAGGTCGCCGACATCCTCCGCGGCGTCCACACCGGAAACCTCGGCGACCTCTCGCCGGCGCAGTTCCAGCGCGTCAGCGAGCTCCAATGCGCCACCGTCGGCCACGAGAACGACATCTCCGACGAGCTCTCCGATTGGCAGGTAATTTTCATTTTCTCAATTTCCGCATCCAATTCCACAATCGAATTAATTTCGAAATCGGAAGAATTAAAAAATCCATCAATTAATTAATGGATCGATCGAACGAACAGGACAACGCGTGCGATGTGGTGGGGATGTGCGGAGATATCGAGAGCAAGATGGAGAGACTGGCGGCGATTCTCGACAAGGCCGATCAGCTCCGTCTCAAGACCATTAAAAGCCTGGTGGAGCTTCTGACGCCGCAGCAGGCGGCGGAGCTGCTCGTCGCCGCCGCCGAGCTGCACTTCGGAATCCGCGCTTGGGGAATTCAGCACGACGGAAACCGCCGCCGCCGTAATATCTGACTCATAATATATATATTTATTTATGTTTTAATTATATTATGATAATTTGGGTAAAATGAATATTCCGTATATTAGTGGGTGAATTAATCATTTTATTTATGGGTAATAATTCGAATGAGAACAAGTTTAATAAGCAATTTTTTTTATGAAATTATTTAACACTAATAATTTATATAAGAAAATATATTACATTAAATAATTAATTTTGTTAAATTTTGAAAATTTACTGTTGTGAAATACAGAGAAACAGTTGAACATTTGCATGCATGGTGACACGTATCGTTATCACAATCATGTGTGATGACAAGTGGATATCAGTGTACTGTATTATTTGTATTATTATTATTATTATTATTATTATTTCAGAGGAGAAAATAGATATAAATATTTTATCATATATTGAATTATACTATTATTATTATTATTTCAGGGGAGAAAGTGGATATCAATAATTTATCATATACTGTATTATTATTATTTCAAGAGAGAGTGGATATCAGTATTTCATTATATATTGTATTATTATTTTTATTATTATTATTATTTCTGGGTAAAAAATGGATATCAGCATTTCATTATATACTGTATTATTATTATTTCAGGGAGAAAGTGGATATCAGTATTTTATTATATATTGTATTATTTATTATTATTATTATTATTTCGAGGGAGAAAGTGGGTATCAGTGTTTCATTATTATTATTATTTTATGGGAGAAAACAGATATCAGTGTTTCATTATATATTGTATTATTACTATTATTATTTTAGAGGAGAAAATGAATATCAGTATTTCATTATATATTGTATTATTATTATTATTTCAGAGAAGAATTAAAATAAAATATCATTTATTTAATACTTTTAAATTTTTATGTGATAAATATCCATTTATATATTTAAAATTAATTTAAAATATAAATTTACTATTTTAATATATTTTATTTATTTAATTTCAATATATTTTTAATCACTAATAAAAATATATATATATTGCTATCAATTTTTTGTCTTAATACGTAAGATTTTATTTTATCTTTTATTTTTCATTACTGATACGATGATCGCACAAATATATATATACTCATACTCATATACGTTATTTATTTTTTTATGTGTATGATATTTACACATAAAATGCATTATAAGTTATAATAATATATACTTTTTTCATACGCAACAATTAGCTATTTGGAGTCGTCGCAGAGAGAATGTGAAAAAAATAAATCGGTAGTTAGAAGTATTTTTAAAAATTTAGTTAGTAATTTAGAAAAATAAAAGGAGAGAATATAATAAAATTAATAGTATTTATTGTAAATAAGTATTGAGTAAAAGGTAATAATTAAATATTAAATTTTGATTTTTTCAAATATAATAATGAAATACTTAAATTTATCGGACAATCGCAAAAAGATAAATACATTTACCAAACAAAAAAAATATAATTTTAAACTTTACGCATAAAATATATACGAAAAATGATTATCGTATCATATATTTTCCGAAAGGTAAGTGTAGTCGTGAAACGATAATAGAATAGTTGGCTGGCATTGCATGATATGTTGCGAACATAATAAATATGTATTTTATACAACTATTTTTACATAAATGGACACTATTAATAAATATGCAATTCGATGTATAATTCGTGTAACTAGAAAGCGCTTATGAACTACCAAAAAAAAAAAGGAAAAATTTCTATTGAAACAATGCAATGTTGTTGATGCGATTTTTCAAAAATAAAAAGTAAAAATCCGAGAATATAAATTATTTTCAAATTTGATAAATTAAATGGTTGAGACTAAGAATCCCTAAGCACTGTAGGATACATAGATAAACTAGGAAATAAAATACTATAGACTGGAAAAATAAAGTGGTGATCCCCAAAAGTAATTCACTTGAATTTGATGTCAATTGAAGATGATTTCTTAGGTCACGAACAAACCTATTTAAAACCCATGTCAACTGCCACCACCAAGTCGTCCCTTCAAATCCGCTCATCGGTTGAAACTTCCTTCAACTGTCCAGAAACTGCTTTTTCGCCCGACCTGCACACCTGCTGCTACGTCTCCTCTTGTCCGTCTTCCACTTGTTTGACCTCCTAACTTGCCTGACTTCGCTTCGCCCGACCTTATCACATCCGACCTCCGTACCCGACCTGATCACATCCGACCTCAATGCCCGACCTTATCACGCCCGACCTCCGAGCCCGACCTGATCACGTCCGACCTCAGTACCCGACCTTATCACGTCCGACCTTCGTGCCCGACCTTACCACATCCGATCTTAACGCCCGACCTTATCACGTCTGATCTCTGTGCCCGACCTTATCATGTCTGACCTCCATGCCCGACCTAATCACATCCGACCTCAGTGCCCGACCTTATCACGCCCGACCTTACCACATCCGATCTTAACGCCCGACCTTATCACGTATGATCTATGTGCCCGACTTTATCATGTCTGACCTCCGTGCCCGACCTGATCACATCCGACCTCAGTGTCCGACCTTATTACGCCCGACCTCCGAGCCCGACCTGATCACGCCCGACCTCAGTGCCCAACCTTATCATGTCTGAGCTCCGTGTCCGACCTTATCACGCCCGATCTCTACACCCGACCTTATTACACCCGATCTCTGCTTTCTCCCGAGGAAGCCTTTTCCTTAATAGCATTTCGAACTCTCTTTTTAAAATCCTATTACTATTAACAAGCTCATTAAACTCTGCACCACTCCTTAACCTAATTTGATAGGCCCATTCTCGAAAACCCTACCCATCGTTTTTTTTTTGTGCTCAACAACTTGCCTCCTCCCGCCCAACTCCTAAACGTCACTCCTTGAACTGCGTGAGATGCGACGTTTAGGGGTTTGTAACACAGTGCTATCATTACACTGTGTTATGTCACATCGCAGGTTTTATGGAAAACCCTTCTCTGATCCAGCCATACTCATGCCCTCAAAATCCTAAAATTCTCCTTTTGCTCCCCAGCGATCAACTTCCAAGAACCCTCTACTTATTCGTCTTCTGCAACTCCTTCTCAAATGGCTAACCAATACGTTCCTACTCTTCTTTTCGATGGGGCTGATTCATCAGTGCCTTCCGTGGCTTCGAGGGTCCTTGCCCCACCGTACGCCCTTACTGCACCACCACCGAAGATGTTGATCATATGAGATCCGTCATCTCTCAGGTTTCTCTAATAATCGTCAACGATGTTGCGTTCAAGCCGGAACGTCTTTGGACAGTATCAGAACTCACCTCATTGATCCGAAAGCGCCTACCGTAAATGGCACGCGAGGCTCCTCCCCCACTTTGAAGAACAGTGGAAAAAGCAAAGCATTGACAAAGCCATCCTCCTCTCGACTCAGCCCCTTTATCTTCACGACAAAGCCCTACTAGCGATGGCGGCCTTTTAGCATTCTCAGATGGGCATATTCCTCCTCCCCTCTGGTCCTATCGGCCTGACCCTGATGGACGTGGCTATCATTGCTCATTTGCCAATCGTAGGCGATGATCCTGTTCTGGTTTCTTTTAAGGGCCGAGAGCCTTCACCCAACCATGCTAGTTGGGCCCTCGCCAAGCTTCCTAAGAAAGAGAGAAGCTGGACTAATTTTTTCAACAAATATCAGGGTAAGGAAGGCACCCCTGTTTCTGAATTGGAACACACAACATTCCTTCTTTTCTGGCTCTGCAGGTACGCTTTCTTCCTTTTGAAATCTCTTTCGTAAGTTCGAAGTTGGATGTTTTGGTTGAATCTCTTCTTTCTTTACATATACATCATTCTTTCCCCCTCCAAACTCGTCCTTTCTACCCAAGTTGATCTGGCCATTAAACTGGCCAACGGCCAATTTTTCTCATTGGGAACCCTCTTTTTGGCTAACCTCTTTGAGGGGTTAACCCGAGTGAGCACCCGCTTGATTGATACTAAGAAGGCGGACACAGCAGCTTCGGGACCATTTTGGTTCATGGAATTGTGGCTCCGTCTTTACTTCCCAAACGCCTTTTTTGGCCGACTTCTTATCACCCCGAATCCTTATAGGTCTATAGGATATGCCTTGGCCAGATTAACTCCTAATTCCTCTTATCTCTATCCGTCCGATCATGTCATCGCCCAAATCCTGACTGAGAACCGTAGCAATTCCCGTTTCTATGTCTACGAAACCCTTATACAATATTCGACCGATCTTTTTTGGCTTTATCTCGACACATCTTATTCCCAAATTTATCCTGATCCTCTTCCTCATCCGACCTATCCCTTCTCTTGGGACTCCGCCATGAAACCCCGATCTCTATTTTCTAGTAAGAGGTCGGACAAGAAAAACCACATATTATTTTATACTTTCAATTATTAGCCCCAATTTTTGGTCCGACAGTTCGGTTGTTGTCAGGGCCTGCCGGGACCACTAGCCCAACCTCACCTTATACCTCAAAGCCCAGAAGGGCTGGTGATTCCCGAGCTTATCCTGACCTACCTTTCCCAACTCACCGACTATATCACCTCTAACTCGTACTTGCCTTTCTGCTTAAAACCTTCGGCGACCGAAGCATTTCCTGCCTGGTGGTCGGCCACCTGGTCTTTTATTGCTCCCCCAACCAACCAATTGGTTGGAAAACTTGCCCCACCCCCAGTCTTGGCGCTGGGTTCTCCTCGATTGGCTGTTGCCCCGAGAAGAAAAAGGCAGGCACCTACCGTAGGCGGATCCGGAGCAAAGAAACAAAAGCAGAAGGCCGCCCCTGCCATTGATAGGCCGGTCATTGAGGAATACTTAGCATCTCTACCAGTGGATACAAGTGGGATGCCAAAATACTTGAGGAAACAATTTGGTAAGTCTTTTTCCTTCCATATTTTATTTTCCTTGCAAGCTTTTCTTAACTTTAACAGCTTCTATTCCAGAGGACCCTCCATTGCCGCCGACCACAACCCCAATTGTCTCTCAACCGATTGAGACTCAGCCGACCATGACTTAATCGACTGCGGCGCACTCACCCATCCATCTGACTTCTTCCCAGTTAGCTGCAGTCCCGATCACACACCAAACGACTATGATGCCGGCCACAAACCAACCGACTATGGTCCCATCCGTAGTACTACCAATGACCCGTCGGGGAGAGGACCCGACTGCCAATCAACCATCAGTTGCACCAACGACCCTAACTGAACAAAGACCTGCTCAACCGGTTGGTCCTCCAGAAAACATCCCGATCGCTGGTCAATCGACCATCACACAACCGATCTCCTTGCAAGCTGAGGTAAGTATTTCCTAATGCTCCTAAGAAAAAAAAAGAGAATACTTACTTCGGCCATTAACTTCAATTCTCTTACTGTAGGTACACCGATCGGAGGAATCGGCGGGGAGGCAAATTTCTCCTACAATTTCGCCTTTACCTGCTCTTCCACCATTACAAATGACTGATGTGGTCGCAGCGATGCCCGACCAACCCGTCGCCTTCCCCGACCAGGTTGCGGAACCATCACAGGTAACTTTCATGATTTTTCCATATGATTTTTTATAAACCTCTAACTCTTGTATGATATTTCAACTAGGAACCTGATGCAATTGTGGTGGTGCCCGAACCCGACCAGGTCACAAAATTGCCCGACCCAGTCGTGGCACCACCCGACAAGCTGCTGCCGCGCTACCCTTACAACCAGCCGCTCAGCCTATTGATGAGGTTCCTCCTATTGCTCCTCAACCAGTCCAACCGATCCCACCGCCTCACGACATAGATAAGATTTTTTCCTCGAAGTCGGGCGAGGCTTCAGTCAATTTTGTCCCAAGGGGTTCGGTTAGTATTCCCTCTCATCCATTTTCTAGCTTTCTCCCCTTCTTCCTTGCTTAACTTTCTTCGTTTAGGGGATAGAGCTGGCCGTCGCTCACCTTCTTCAACTGGGAGACGAATCAGTTGCTGGCCCGACAACTCACCATGGTGCCTCAACGACGTTCCGACTCATGGCCCTTTCTGAAGCCACGGCCGCCTTAAATCAGGTAAACTTTATCCTTATATTGTAATGAGTTAACCATATCTCTCTGACTTAACATTTTCCTTTTGTCTCAGGCTGCTCAAGAGATGAACATTTTGGCCCGAGTGAACCTTCCGACTCCCGTCAGATCTATCGTGGAACGCTGCGCCGACCTATCTTTTGCCGACCTGAGTTTAGCCGACCTCGAAGCTCTAGTCCACGTCATCTCAACCGACTGCTGATCCAGCCAGTCTTGAGGCAACCTTGAAAAAGTTCGATCAAGACTTTAATCTTGCCAAGACTACGTTGGACGAACTTCGACAAGCGCGACACACATTAACGGATAAGATCTCCCATAAAATGGAAGAACTCAAACGCCTCCAAGAACAGATGAAGTCCCTAGATGACAGCATTCAGGAAGGGAGTCGTCTGGTGGAGGCACATTACCATACTCAGACGAGTCTCTGCCAGTAACTCCAAACAGCCATACAAATAAGACTCGTCCGGAGACACCAGGAAGCTTATCAACATCGGCGTGCCACTAAATCGGAGCTAAAGTGGACCGATCTCCAAACTGCCCTTAAGGCCCTACTTTCTCTGTAACCCCGACATAATTTGTATAGAATTGTCAGACTTCATCTATATATTCTATTTTCAGAACAAGTATCCTATGTTTTTGCATTTTTACTAAGTCAAACATCAAAACCAAGATCCATATTTTTTGCACATTTAATAAACCAAAAATTAAACACCATAACACCTATATAAACTCCATACCTCTCACTGCAAATATCATCAGCACATCCATATCATCACTCAAAATGGTTTCTCCTCGCAGTTGGGTCCCTTCGTCCAACTGGCAAGGTTCTTTGCAACCATTCCTAGTAGGAAAATACCCCATAGGTCATCATGCTGAAGACCTGATACAGGTGCTAAAACAACTGGACTTTAAATTTAGGTTCTCCGGCAGAAGCGGGAGAACCATACATCGTATGATCCGACTGATGGAGCGTATATCCACTGGCTACGAACCCCTTACTGACATACTCACCCGCATATCTGACCTTGATCATCATCTGGACATGATAGATCATCATGTATCAGCAATCCTTCCAGACCTCAGTTGGAACAACATTTTCCATCATCAAAGATCAACACTTTCCAGACTGCGCGTCCTTGTCGAACGAGAGAATCAATCTCTGCAAGATATGAAGGTCCGCACCGAACAAGATCTTCAAGAAATGCAGGATCAGTGGGATCGCTACCGTCTTGATTTGGACGACCTCTTGGACGAAGAACCTGAAATGGTTTCTGCGAGTTGGGATAAAACCTCTGAACCAGAGGACAACTATCCTTCTGATGATTAGAGAACCCTTTTCTAATAGGTTCGAACCCTTTGAGGGGTTCCTAGATTTTATAATAAGAACTAATGACAATGTTCTGAAAAGGCAGGGTAATACCTTTTCAGATACTTAGCATTAATATTCTCATGTACCAGCTTTCCTTCTTGATTTACAATAATAAAAGCTCCATTCTCAATCACTTTATAAATGATGAAAGGACCTTCCCAATTGGGAGACCATTTCCCTAATTGGTCCACCTTCTTATACGTAGGCAGAATTGTTTTCCAAACCAAATCTCCTTCTATAAACAACCTTGGGGACACTCTTTTTCCATAATATTTTGCTCTAATCTCACTCTGTCTAACCACTTGATCCAACGCATTCAAACGATCTGTGTCCACCTCCTCCAGTTGTTGCCACATCCTTTGTGCATATGCCTCATCAATACATGTTGTTGTACTAGCCACTCTGAGTGAAGACACAACAAATTATGCCGGAAGAACAACATCTTGCCCAAATGTTAACTGGTATGGGGAAAATCCAGTAGACGTATTTCTACTATTTCGGTAGGCCCACAACGCCTGAGACAGCAATGTGTGCCATTTCCTTTGATTTTCTTCTACCATTTTTTGAATGATACCGATGACAATCTTATTTTCTGTTTCGGCCAACTCATTAGCCTGTGGGTAATATGGTGACGAGTGATGCAATTTGATATTAAATTCGGCTAAAAATCAACAAATTTCTCCCCAGTAAACATCAACCCTTGATCGGTTGTAAGAGTGTGCGGAATCCCAAACCGATAGACGATGTGATTAAGCACGAACTCAATCACCTCTTTCTGCGTCGAATTCTTCAAAGGGACTGCCTCTACCCATTTGGTAAAATAATCAGTTGCTACCAGAATGAATGAATGTTGTTTTGACGATGTCGGATGAATTTTTCCTATTACATCCAACGCCCAAGCTTTGAATGGCCATGGCTTAACCATTACCTGCAGTTTTACAGTTGGCAGATGATTTAGTGGACCATGCCTCTGGCATTCCTGACATCCTTTAGCAAATCTGATACAATCGTCAAAAATCTTTGGCCTATAGAACCTCATACGATGAATAGCCCATCGCATATTTAATCCTGCTCGGTGCGCCCCACAAATTCCACCATGGACCTCTTCCATTACTTTAATGGATTCTTTCGGCCCCAAACACCTCAATAAAACTCCTTCCAAGGTTCTTTTATACAGAGCCCCTTCAATAAGCTGGAAACGTAAGGCTTTCAATCGAATGCCCACAGGAGTCACAAAACTTGGTGATTCCAAATACACCATAATTTCTGTTCTCCAATCAGTCCCAGAATCGATGCTCCCGATCATTTGTTGGCAAGCATTCTGAGCCAAATTATCCGCCAACCTATTCTTTGTTCTTGGTACATGCTCGAAAACTACCTCCGAAATTCTGTATAACAGATGACATACCAAATCTCGGTATCGATGCAGATGAGGATAATTACAAGCGTACCGTTTTAACACTTGGTTGATGACAAGTTGAGAATCTCCACAAATTAGGACCGATTGTACTCTTTTAGCGATAAGTGCTTCTAAACCCAAAATCAGTGCTTCGTATTCCGCAGAGTTATGAGTCATCTCTTCCATTTGAAGTTGCAAACTAATTTTACTGGCTCCTGGTCCTTCTAGTATCACCCTTGCTCCTGACTTTCCTTTTGAACGAGAACCATCAAAAAATATTTTCCAAGGATTGGTGCCTATATACGGCACTACTTTGTTTTCCAATGATTCATCGCCTGCAAATTCATCCAACAAGTCGGCTACAACCTGCCATTTTACCGCTTTGATAGGTCGATGTTGCAGCGCGAAAGGAGCCAATTTGATGGCCCATTTCATTAATCTTTCCTGCATGGTTGGTCTGTGCAAAATTAATCTGATCAGATCCATTTTAGAAACCACCTCGGTTTATATTGGCAGAATATAATGCTCCAGCCGAGTACACGCAAAAACTAAAGAATAGCACATTTTCTCGGGCATAGTATAATTTAACTCTGGTCCTATCAGAGTTTTACTTAAATAATAAATAGCCCTTTTTTTTACCATCTTCCCATTCTTGCGCAAGAAAACTACTTACCACATCGAAACTGTTTGCAACATACAATCGGAGGGGTCGATCTCCATTTGGGGGAACCAATACAGGTGGTTTGGTTAATGCTTGCTTGATTTCTTCTAATGCCTTATGCTGCTCCTGACCCCAAGAAAAATCGGCCGCCTTATTCCATAGCAACTTTGTGATAGGTTTTAACTTCCCAGCAGCATTTGATATAAAACGCCTTAGGTAATTTATCTTTCCCAACAAACTTTGCACTTTTTTGACCGACCGAGGTGGCCGCATTGTCAAAACAGCCTTGGCTTTGTTTGCATCAATTTCTATCCCTTTTTCATGCACTAAAAACCCCAGGAAATTCCCTGCCGAAACTCCAAAGGCACATTTCGTTGGGTTCATTTTCAGGTTGTACTGCTTCATCCGTAAAAAAGCATTCTTTAAATCAAACAAATGTGTGTCAAAGTCAGTAGACTTAATGATCACACCATCGATGTATACCTCCATTGGCTGCCAGATCAGATCATGAAAGATGGTATTCATTGCCCGTTGATATGTTGCTCCAGCACTCTTTAAACCAAATGGCATAACCGTCCATTCGTAGATTCCCAAAGCTCCTAGGCATCTGAACGCGGTTTTGGGGATATCTTCTTCCGCTAATGAAATTTTATTATGCCCTGCATACCCGTCCATCAAGCTTAAAATTCGATGCCCTGCTGCCGAGTCGATCAACATATCGGCTATGGGCATCACATACTCATGTTTCGGGGTAGCTAGATTGAGATCTCTGAAATCAATGCAGATCCGAATCTTTCCATTCTTTTTGGTTACCAGAACAATATTGGCTAACCATTCTGCATACCGACAAGGTCAAATGAATCCCACCTTCAACAGTTTCTCAATCTCTTCTTTGATCTGAGGCAGCGATTCTGGACTAACTTTCATTGGTGGTTGCTTATACGGTCTAAATCCTTTCTTAATAGGCAACCTATATTCTATCAAATCGCGTGCCAATCCGGGCATCTCAGAGTAATCCCATGCTAGACACACCATGTGATTCCGAATTAGCGTTACCATTTGCTCCTGCTGGTTTTTAGACAACAAACCACTTACCCTGACCGTCTTGGGTATCTGTTCGGTTCCTACATTGTATTCAATGAGCGGATCCTAAGTTGACAAGGAAGGTTCTGTCTTTTCCAATAGATCAGGCCAGCGAAAACCTTCTCCCTCGCCATCATTATTGTTGGAACCTTCCCTATTATGTAACCTAACCATTAATTGGTTTAAATAAAACTGCCTAATCATCTTATCACATTTACTTATTTCTTCCATAATTAAACTTAAATAAATGAAAAAGTTTTTTTGGCTAACGACAGAGCCATAAAACAGAAGAATATTTCTAATGAAACATATAACCCTGGGCAGTGAGCCTACAGCCCTTCCAGGGATATTCGTCTACCACAGTTGTCCGTAAAATCGGCGGTACGTACTTTGAATAAAGCACTGACTCTTCCACACCTTCTATGGAGCCGAACGGATTGGTGCCGGCTTCCATGGTGAATACCTAATCTCCTTCCCAAAATATGATCTGTTGATGGAGAGAAAAAGGCACGCATTTGGAAGCGTGAATCCAGTCTCGCCCCAACAAGACCGAATAAGTAGTGCTGGCATCTACCACGAAGAATATTGTTGAAATCATCTTTGGTCCGACTTCAATGGGTGCCACCATCATCCTTTCTGGTTTGGTTGGTTGTCCCGTGAAGCTTGTCATCTCGATATCTACTGGAGACAGGTCGCCAATCCCTTTGCCCAATTTTCTCAGAGTTTTAAGAGGCATGACGTTGAAGACGGCCCCATTATCAATGAAAACCTTGTTAATCGGCTTACCACAAATGTGAGCGTTAACATACAATGGTTTCCAGTGTGGGATTGCTCCTTCTGGTATAGGCGGAAAAACCATAGGTGAAGGACTGCCAGTCATCGCCGCCCACTCTGGTTCTTCTTCTTCCTTGAACTTTGCGCAGATGGGCTCTTCTTCTTCCTCGAACCATCGCATATCCGTCATCCTGACTTCGAACCGGCTTTATCAATCTTCACTATCTTGCTGCGCAAAACTTTTGTTTCTTCTGGAGCAAATGACCCGAAGATTATCTCAGGAGTCTCTTCCTCGACATCTCCTATTTCAGGATCAATGTTGATCCGTCTGCAGAACCTGGCCTTCTTGATAGGCTTTTCAATCTTCCAGTACTCCTCTAGTCGGTCACTCGAGGTTTTCCTTTTGGGTGACGACGCCTTCTTCTCTTTCCTTTTGTCTGCTCGCTTTAAATGTCGAGCCGCATACCTGCGCTTAGCATTACGGATTTGTGTATGATTCATACCTGGAAACCGGGGATCTACGTCTATTGGCAGAGGCTTTCTGTTCCGGCTCCATTTGTCATGGACTGGTTGTGGTTTGCACGTTGGTCGATCTCGTACTACAGCTTTATCCTTCAATTCCACTTCGAAGGATCCATATTCTTTATCCCATTTTCCTGCCACTCTAGTTTCGCAAACTTTGAACTTTTCTTCCTGATCGTGTTCCCGCTCTTTGGGCTTACGCTCCTTTCGCTTGGTATTTTCTTCATCATCACTTTACGTATCTTGTGAAGAGCGCAGAGAGATCACCGCAGTAGTCACCTTTGGGAACGGCTGGTGCTCCACTCCCATTGTTACATACTTGAATCTCTCTGCTTTGATAGCCTTCTGTATTTCCTTTCGGAAATGCGTACATTGATTAGTGTAATGCGTAAAAGAATTATGCCACTTACAGTATGGCCTCCCTTTTATCTCTTCTTTCGTTGCTAAACGCTGCCCTTTAGGAATGCGAATTTGCCCATCTGCTAGGATAATATCGAAAATTTCGTCTGCTTTAGACGCATCAAAAGTCGGTTGTTCCTTATCTTCTTCCCCAGGAAGGGGCTTTAGTTTGGAACACACATAAGGCTTGCCGTTTACAATTTCAACTGCCATTTCTTCAATGCTGCTTCCCTGCTTATCATCTGGCGCATACATTTCTGTATCAACACTGGCCATCTGTTGGACCCTGTTCCGCCAGAAATTATGATATTTTTCTCTAAAAAGAGATTCTAACCTTCCTGCTTTGGAAGCCAAACTGGCCAGATCCTGAACATCGTGGGCTGTCAACGCCTCCCAAAGTCTGGTATGCATATTCCTGACCACTAAATTGGTCATCTCGTTTTCTTCTATGATTGTCGGGCACCGTCCCTTCATTAAAGGTATTCGCTCTATAAATTGATAAGCAGTCTCTTCGGGCATCTGCCGGATCTCCAAGAGATCTGTGAGTGAGACCGTCGGGAGTGGATTAAAGAATCTTGCATGGAACGCGGCCTCCAGACCTTCCCAAGTTTGCAACTGTCCTGGCGGGAGATTGGCAAACCATGAAAAAACGGTTCTTGTGAGCGATAATCCAAACAACTGTAATTTGTAAAACGAATTATTGCTCACTTCCCCCAATTGGG